GTAGGCCCCCGGGGGGGGGTGTTGCCGGGGGAAACCCTGCCACGGCTAGCCTATTCGGTGCCGTTCTCAAGAGAAAAGCCAAGTGGTCTAAATCAACTTGGTAAATAAATGACTGCGAGTGGTTGTGTTTTCTTAGAAAGGTCGAGAAGCCTGGGCGACCTGACGCCGTGTACCTTCCCGCAGCACTTCTCCTGACTTTCCCACACCGCGCTGCGAGCGGAGTCTGACAATCCTATCAAACGGCAGACTGGTTATGATTTCAGCACATGCTTGCAGCGTGGCTTTCATTATATTGTAGGTATCGTGATGCAAAGTCAAACCTATTAATGCCATTCTTAAAATAAGCATCTGCAGATTTAATCGCACACTGCGCGTGACAGGCATCCCATTCACATATTCTTTTAATCGAGGGGTTAGATGCTCAGCAGGACAAGTATCTTCTGCTGTGTCTCCATCTCTCCGTATCTCACCAGGCTGGCATAACCCTCGGCAGCTCCAGGTAAAACTGCTGTACCAGAAACTTGGGTGCTGGCAGCCTTGTTTCCCTGAAAAACCATGGCAAACTGCAAGAGGAGAAATAAATGAGGCTTGGGTCCTTTCTTCCCCTGAGGAAGGAAGCTGTTGCTTTTTCTTTTCCTTTTTTTTTTTTAAAAATATTTGACATTTTAGATGGAACTAGAGAGGTTATGAAGGACAAAATGAAACCAAAAAAGACTGAAAAATAAGCACCTGGAGGCTGCAGAGAGGAATTTTTAGTTCAACTCCAATATTTTTTTACCACTGATGCATAATCCTTCTGAGAAGTACAAAGGAAAATAAATATCTGTGCACTTTTAGGCCTTCCTCATATGCCAAAGCAAGAAAAATGACACCAACTTTTTTTTTTTTTTTTTTTTATAAAAACATCAGTTATAAGACCACAGCTGCAAACAGTTCTGTACCACCTAGAAAATGTGAGGAATGCTGGTCAGAATGGGATGAAATGCACACTACGTTCAGGTCAGATTTTTCACAGCATTAACCATATACGGTACGATTTAAAACACTCAACGTGGCAATAACATTTAGAGTAACAGAAACCATGCATATCCAGTGAATTTAAATGTCTTTCTTGTAGGCAATCTGTGTTGTATCAGGCAAGGATGCACTTGGTTGCTTTTCCTGCTTTGGGTTAAACATGGAAAGACACCGCTCCAGCACAGACAGGACATAATGAAGTATTTTATGTCAAGAGAAATGAAACCGTAATGTCTCAGCAGGCAAACCCCTGGCAGCCTGAGGCAGTTTGATGTCTCGAGAAGAACAGGGTTGTGGCCCAAAGACTCAGTTTGACTGTGCAGCCTTGTGAAGAGACACTGCCTCTTTGCAACTAACCAATGCCTCCCTATGCCCACTGTTTCTTGGTTTAATGAGGGCAATTAGTTTTGCAGCCATACAAAAACCTACAGTGTCCACAAGACTTCAAAATATTCATATTTATGATGGTTTGTCCCTGCTCCTCCGTATTTCCCTTTTGCCTTACTCTTACAGCAGAGAGCCAGGCACACCCCCTGGGCACTATTTTTAAGAATTATTCCCAGTTCAAAAAAAGAACTCGTCTCTCTGGTATTCCAGTCACTTGCTTTCTCAGAACTAAGGCAGGCGCTTGCATACATCATATTCTTCCATGAAGATAGGACTGAGAGCACAGGGGTTGCTTTTTCTTTTATTACAAGACTTCTACTACTACAAGGCTATGGCTTTGACAAAGTCAACCAGGAAAAGAAACAAAAATAATTTTCATAATGGTTGTTTAAAGCAAAATTAATTTCTATCTTTCTGGTTTCTTTTTTTGAGAAGGAAGTTTTAACATCAGCAGAAGAATATCAGTGAAATGTTTAGGCATTTTCATGTTCGGTTGCATAGTCTTAAAAACATTGAGTTCAGAGTTTTCCCTGTATTGCTGAAATTTTTGTTTTAAAGATATATTTAATACCATGTTTGCTTTAACCACAACTGCAAAGAAGTTTCTATAATTACACAATTTCTCATTCTTGACTTCCTTATAAACAGAACACTGGAATTTAAGATGTTTGCTAGCTGCGCTTGAAGGTGAAGGTTTATTTTAAGCTTGAGCAAAGTGATTATACGTCAGTGAAGATTTTTACTGGTATAAATAAATGCTTATCACTAGAAAGAAGGAAAGCAAGCAATAACCCCACAGTGAACATTAGGCTAAGTCTGCTATTAACCCCAGGTAGCACTGGAGTCTTCCTCCTTGGTTCGGGAAAAGATGCCAATTGAAAATTTCCTCTAAAAAGACATACTCTGTGGCCTCTGCTAAGGATGTCTGTTGAATGTTAGAAAAATTAGTGTTTTACCAGCATTTCTCATTCTGTTCAAGCAGATGGACTGAGAAATCTGGCAAGATGTGAAATTATTTGCAAAGATAGTTTGATTAAGGAAATCCACAGCAACAGGACTTCCCCTAAATCCAACCGATCTTACGACAGGTTGTGTTAGGCAACCATAGCACTACAGGTACCACAAGAAATGTCACTTAGTTATCATTTTCGTACAGGGCCAAGTTCATAAATGCACCGTCAGGCAAAAAACCTGGAGGGATCTGTATTTTGATGGTAGTTTTGACTGTACTGTCCTTGCCCACAGCTGTTCATCAGTCAAATCGCCACAACTACTAATATGCAGTCACTCAAAAAGGTTTAGATTTAGACTGTCTGCCTTCCAGACTTGTTGCATTTTTTCATTTAGGAAACCCTTTTAATGACTCAGCACAACGGTAATCGCAGCTTCTATTCTATCTGACCTTTCACTGAGCCACCTAAGGAGGGAACTGTCTTCTAGGAGAGCAGAAATTTTGTCATCCTCTGAGCTTGTAATGCATTAGTTGAAAATAAATAAAAATGCTCTTACCAGAACAGACATCTCCACAACATCTGATGGCTCCAGGTACTCGGGGTCTACTTTGGGCCAGGACTGATGCAGCACATCAACATCCCAGTGATGATGAGTACAAAGTTTATTCTGCATATGTGCCAAACCTGGAAAATGAAACCAGTCAAACATTCAGCTGCACTGCAACCAGAACATTGGATCTTTGGAATTTGTTTGATAAATAAGATCAGAATAAAGTTGACTTTAAAAGCAAGTCCCTTAGGAGGAAATAACATTGTTGTTTAGATTAGCATAGAGCACATTATAGACAGAAAGATCTACATCTTTGAAGCACTTGCTTTATACCATGCGTAGGGATGCTAACGTGAACAACGTGGGCACATTTTAGGTTTGGATTAGCACTCCAGAACTTTGCCAAAAGCACAGAAGACCACTGTTTATTATTTTAAATTGTAATGCTGCAACACAAGTTGACCTCTACTTGTAGAAGTCAATCATAACACTGCATCTTTTTCAGTAACACCACCAGTTTGATTAAAATTTTATTAACTCAATCAAAATGATAAACAATTATGGCTTATTATTTTACCACTTATAATATGCTGGGTAGTTTCTAAATTTGCAAGTCAAGCTACTTGCAGGATTTTCCCACATTTTGAGAAGTATCTGTTTTCTCACAAATTCAAGGCGCTACATAAGAATACCTTGCACAGCTTGCTCTTCTTCTTATGATACGTACATTCTGAAACACTTTATCCTTTGATTTCATTTAAAAAAACCCCACTCCTAAAATGGCTATAAGCGATCTCCTTTTATTAAACAGGCTTTGCTCTCCCCAAGACAATTCATTCCGGATTTGTTTGAGTCATAGGAGAATAGGATGCAATTCATTCTGAAGCTGCATTCTTTAACTGAATAAAAGCTTCTGAGCGGGATTTATGTTGCTGTTTACTCCAGCTGTAGGACAAAATAAAAAGATTTCACTTAAGAGGCTTTCAAATATGCTCAATATTGATGACGATTGCTCTTGTGATTCTCACAAAGCCAGGGGATTTTTAAATTAGAAACATTCTCTGTGTATAAGAAGAGAGGCTAAAACTTTTTATAAGTACGTGCTTCATTCAGAACTGCAAAATCTACACGAAATCTCCTCTGGTTTAGGGAGACTCCAGCAAGAGCCTAACGAAAACCCATTAACACAAGGTTCCCTGTTGAGACTGAGGTACCCGAAGCTGCTCAAAGCACAGCACAACGGCAGGCATAGGAGCAAAACCAACCCATGCATAATACATACATGAATTTACCTAGCTGGATTGTTTAGACTAATACAGTGAATAACAGCAAACAGGGAGATAAAGAGAACGCAAGTTCCTCCAGAAAGATCTGCCAGATTTTTGTCAGCGCTTTTTCAGACAAAGCCCTTGGTAAAACGACACACAGCCTTGCTATGTGCTGAATGATTCAGAAAGGGGCAGTGGGGGGACCGATGGGAGCTACTTCTAACGGCAAGCAAGAACGTGCACATTTCCTAATAACAACAACTAAGCCGCAATCTTATTAGGTAAATAACTGATTAAAACACTTCAGTGGATCTGGTTTTGTGTGGTTTTTTTTTTTTTCTCTTGCAGCAGTAGCTCAGAAACTGAGAGAGCAAAAGATAGGAACTCAAGCAGAAAAAAAAAATCTTCACATTGGTGATTCATTATCACGTTGACTTTAAAGACAACAGCTGCTAGATTCTTCCCTTTTTGGCTTTTCAGCATCCAGATGAGCTCATTTCTTTCCAACTGCTCACATGCCTTGTGGCAGAAGCATGCATACTGGCCACTCCTTATTTTCCTGTTGAAGTGGATCCTTCAAACTATTAAAAAACCACTTTCTGATATCAGTCAAGAGCTTCTAGCTACGAAAGCAAAACCAGGGTCATTTTTAATCCCCATGGAGGCTGTCAGTCCTAATAAACCTACTAATAAAAAAAATTAAAACGTATTCTGAAGCAGATAAAGTGTGACTAAGCAAATGCTGATCTTTTGGTTCATTTTCTTGCTACAAAATGAGGTATGAGCTCATCCATATTAAAAAAAAAAGTGCAAAAGTCAACAGCACTAGTTTCAGAAAACAGAGTTTGACAGGAAACCAAAATGAAAGTGTTAGTTGTTGCTGTTTGGCTTCCTGCCTTAATTCACATTTTGTGAGCTGTAGAACACAGAAAACACAATGATTTGGTTTGTACTTTCAAAATGCAACACACACAAGACCAGAACCTTCATCGCCACGATCCAGAACGGCGCTGGTCAGGACCCAGACAGAACCCTCCTCCAGCCTTCCCACTTGATTCTGAGCACATGCTTTGAGAAGTTAAAAACCGACCGTTTCACAGACTTTTACTGCAAAAACATTAAAAACCTATTTTACTTTCTTATTGTACTGAAAAGCCCTAGTGACGTGCCCTTTATGAAGCACTGTGCATTTTGCTTTATATTTTTCTGATGTATTTTGCTTTTAGGGCTCCAGATTCTCTTGCAGAGGTAGGACAGAAAGCCAGCTGAGTACATTTTTACTTACTGTAAGCCGTTTACTTATACATACACATCTGCACAGCCATACAGGACAGATAAAAGACGATACTGGTGCTCAATCTGAAGCCCTGATCCCGCTATTGGATCTGCTTCAATGGACTTTTAATGACTAGCAAGGTAATGCTAGAACATGGTTTCCCTAACCAGTAACTCACAGCATTGCAGCCCAAGTTAAAACACCAAGTTAAACATGTATTATATTACTGTAAACGAGTGAGTTGAGAGAAGGACGGGACAGGACAAGTCTAACAACGTTTCAGCTCATGGCAATGTTTTATTAGCATTACATGAGTATTTCATAAGCATAATACTTCCCCTAAGGTGCTATTTGGTGGGGAAGAGCAGATTCTCATTTTAAAGAGATTTAAGAAGGAAGATGTGGAAGCAATTGTGTATCAGCAAGGTGTTTGGACAACAAGGTAATTGCAGTCTTACAGAAAAAAAAGCACTAGAAAAAATTATTTGTAAAATGCCAGCAATAGCACAGCTAGCTGGACGCAACATTATGTAGGCAAGAGAAAAAGGTGATTATGGAGTAAACTGAGTAAGAGCTGGCGTGGGTCAAGCACCAGCACAGAGAGGTTAACAAAGCAGAAAAGGCAAGGAGGATGGAAGTCTTAATGGGCGATAAAAGGAAGTTAAGGAAGGCATCGGAAGCAATGCCAGTTATCAGAGTTTAGGAGCAGGGATTTTCTAACAGCAGATGTAAGAAGATCAGAGGGGGCCAAATAAGGTGACTATGAGGGTGCATTATACAAATGCTGATAACTTTTAGATTTAACTAAATCAAAAACAATAGAAACCAGCGTTAAGTAAAAATTCACCACGCTAGCACAGAAGCAGATTTTTAAAGTTTTTAAAAAGCTCAGAGCAGGAGTGTGTAAGGGTAAGTGGAGATGCATTCTGGGTCAGTATCTTACTCGCCTCTGCAGCCTCTTCCAAGGACATCTGACTTTGTTCTTGACATGCTTTTTTACTGTTTAATGAATCTCCCTATTTGACAGATTCAGGCAAACTTGCATATTTGAAATACCTTTCTTCAGCCCAGGAGGAATATGTCTGTCAGTCATATGTGAAATGCTCTGCAATCCCAAAGAAACGATAGCAACATGGTAACAGCGGCTTCCAGACAGCTCTGAGAAAAACCGTATTGTACTGCTGGTATGGTAGTACAGAACGGGGTTGTGAAAAGCCTAGGTTACTAAAAGCTAACTCCAGAATGTGTTTCCAATTCAGCAAACTCCACGTGATCCTTTTAACCTTCTGAAAATGATCTGCCTTCCTCCATTTGTATGGACTTACTATCCTTCACTTTGGGTTATTACTCCTGGAGAAAAAAAAATAAATATTTTTTTTAATTCTAAATCGTGTTTCTTCTTGGATTTGTGAAGGAGGATTTCTGCATTCGGATTTTCAATTAAAACCTGCGACATCAATTAGCTTCTACTCAGCCTGAGCTGAGTCCTTGAACAAGGACTGAATTCAGACAAAGAAATTCTTGCAGAAGAGCTCTTGCAGTGACAGTTAAAATGTTGCTAAGACAATTATACCATTAAAAATTCCAATAATTATGTTTCATTTCAATATATCTTAAGATGTGTTTATCATCAGTATATATCTTTCAAGTGCCATCTCTAATAAAAAATTAACAACTCAGAATAAGCGGTTTCATAGCCTTGTCTGGACAGCAAAATACTGTACTACTACAAACAAACTGAAAAAAAAAAGTCTCAAATGATGTCTGTATATTCCTCAGATACAAGGTTTCAGGAAGGAAACATTTCCTCATCCTGTTAGTGTTCATAAACTGCCAAGATATCAGCCGGATGAACTCTTCCCACACTGAGGGGCTACAGTTGCTTTTTATGTCATTAAGCGAGAAACCAGCGTTTTCACCGCACCATTAAGACCATTAGGTTGACATGCCAAAATACTGAAAACTGGTCCTCCTCTAAGCAGGAGAAAGAACTCCTTCACACACAAAATATCAAAGCCCCGGGTTACTGTTGTTCCGCTGCTGAAAGGCGAGGTACTTCTCAAACAGCATTCAAGTAGCCTTCCCTTCACTCATTTCCTACCAATGCTGACGTAGCTCTTCAGCCAGCTCACAAGGAGACCGAACTCTGCGTTTCTACCTGATGCATGAAAATGAGTTGGTCACATATAAATTAAACCCCGTGGGAGAATAATTCTTCAGCTGCAGAAGAACAAAAATTGCTGTACCTTGAATTGATCTAATTTTACTGTAATTATACTTAAAAGTTGCAGATTACATCAGAAGCATCCTTAAGATATCAAACTGCAGTTCTGAGTTTGCAAAGTTTATCAGCAAACTAACAAAGAAAACAGAGTGGACTAAAAAGCTAAAATTTCAAATGAACTCTGATGCATCTCTTGCAAAGCAGGATAGCATTATTACAATCAAAATTACTTATATCACTGATGCTAGTCTTTACTTAAAATGTCAAGCAAAGCACCTTTAATTAACACTCACATATTCTTTGTAATTTTCCTAACATTTTCATTCATTGGCAATCATTAAGATGGACTGGTTCTCAGTTAAATCCAGCTCTTAGGAACTTTTTTGCTAATCAAGAGGACACCTACACACATATTTATACACTTAGCCAAGTTTTAACTTTTATAAGCTATTGTATTAGAAAACACTGATTTGCAATTTTTTTTTACATCTCATTGCGATCTGTGTCAAGCAGCTTTTCGATCGAAATGGGAATCAATTAAAATGCAAAAAAGCGTTTTTTGCTATTTAAATATAAATGCATTCAGCATGCAAGTATTTTAAGAAAATTTGTTACATACTTAAAATTTATCATCTCATGTTTTGCAGTTAAACTTTTTTTTTTGAGCAAAGGAGAATGTTTTATGTAATTACCAAATAAAACTAACAGTATCAGGCATTCTGGGACATGAGAGCCTTCGAGATTTTAATATTTACAGATGCTAGCCTCTTTTGCCTAGCTTTTTATTCCAAAACTAGAAAAGGAAAAAAGGTTGGTTGATTTTTATGCAATTTCTAGAACACCTATCATTTAAACTGAAAAAATACTGTTTGCACCTGCAGAAGAGTTTCCAGTTGACAAAAGTAATTTTATTACCTCCACAAAGCCTCATTCCTGGTGCTTAGCCAGAAAGTTCTATAGTTCTGTGGTTTAATTGTCTTCAAATCTTTGGTAGAATTAATATAATACCATACATTAAGTCAGGGTCTTATTGTAGGTCGTCATTATTTCACATTTAGTTTTAAATTCTATTGTAATTTCTTTTTAAATGTTTCTTGACCGTAATCAGTGATCAGAAAAGCATAAAAGGAGAGATTACAATGCAACAATAAAAGTATTATTCATCCTGTGAAGCACAATGCAAACAGTCAAAATTAATGTGAATGCTCTTTTCTTCTCTCTAAGGCTGTAGTAAGATTAATATTAAGCATATCTCACTATGCAGTGGTTCAGAGTTAACACAAGTCACCGCTCCTACTAGCATTCCTACTCAACTGCAAAATTATGTTTGATATTAACTACAGGGATTCCAAAATTCCCAGTTTCATTTTCCCCTGTAGAAAGAAAAATGCTCTTTGTTTTCATCAAATGTAAATGTAAAATGTAAAGGCTGCATACAAGTTATTTTAGAATGAAATATCAGTATTTAATTATAAATAGCTGAGGACAATACACTCCCAATTTGTATACGCTTCCTTTTCATTCTTACATCAGAGAGAGCGCCAGAAAATGTTTATCATTCTCATTCTCCAGTGATTTTAGTAGTAAGAAAAGACTTCCTCCTTGAACATTCAAAATGTTACAGGATTAAGCTTTACGTTTGACAAATCACGTTAATTAAGACGTCCTAATGTTCTTTGTCATTTTATCAAACATATGTGATAATTCTGTATTGCCTAACACAGACTTGAATTTCAAGTTCACAAGGCACTGTATGTTTAAGTAATGAGCCCAGACCTCTTCTGCCTCCATCTCAAATAATGTGCAAAACAAACTCGCGGCAATTACTTCCATTTAAGCATAATTTTAATTAGATGGTACTTTATACTGTAAGAGAATATTGACCAGAAGTAGCTTTCTCTAGATGGATCATGTCTGATGCCACACAATTAAGCTTGTATTAAGACATCTTAAAAACACTGGAAATGAAAACACAGACACACACCCCCCCCCCAATATATCTTGCTGTTTCCAGAGTCTCTGCCCCTATGTTATGGCTTTGAACAAGCGCAGCCTTTCTTTGGCAGTTTACATTATTAGAGGGCCATGCACAACTCGGAAATATAAGCAATTTAGTAGCTCTGCTCTGTAAACATTTGAATGCATAATGCTTTAGGATGACTGTTGAAAATAAAACTGTTCAAACAGCATCCAAAAGCTAACATTGGGTCCAAAACCACACAGCAATTTGTGGCCAGTCTTAATGCAGAATATATTCCTCTCTTCCCACATATGTTTTGGGACTTCTCCCAGTAAACCTTAAAAGCAACTGCTGAGCTCTGGTATGCACATCCCTTATTTCACAGGCTTTAACTGTAGCAGCACCATGCAACTTAGCCCACTTGGGATTCAAACCTCAAGGTTTACAATTGTGACAGATCTTAAAAAAGATTTCCTGTCTACCATTCCCCTTCTCCACAAGAGGTTAGTTTGCAGCGTAACGTCCCTCAGTCTCTGGAGACTTCTAAAAGAGTGGGATTTTTATTGAATGCTCCTTTGGTCTTTTTAGTATATAGCCCTCTGACGTGGTTCTCTTCGCCTGAATTCGTGAAAGAAAATATTTGTAGTCCAAAGACTCTGAAAGAGTTGTTTGAAAAAGGGCTGTTTCTGTCCTCACGTTCAGCTCTTAATACTGCCGTCCATACACGGGAGCAGCTAGCAGCTGACATAGGAATGCTTCACGCAAGTCCTGTCTTGAATTTTTCTTCTTTCTCCCTTTCTCCGCCTGGTCTCAAGAAACCCACCTTTGCATGCAAGGGGAAAGAAACTAAAAGCAGAAAGAGATATCTGGGAACACCACACGTTTCAAGTTTGTTTAGGAATTACAACAGGAGGTGACAAGATAGATGCAGCATTCAGGGATGAGTGACACATGTACTACGTTAAACACATTTTTGCAAACTTTTTGCCTTTTTTCCTGGATCATCAATAAAAAATTTTATTTCTATAAATACCTTTCCACATCTCTGATGCAATGTGCGGAGCCATAGGTGCAACCATAACGCAGAGTGAAGCCAAAGCATCTTCAAATTCTGCGCTGTGGAGAATAAGAGGCCAAGAAGCTTGCTAAGTGAAAAGACACAAGGAAAAGAAAATAAATTGTTAATATGCTGAGGTGGGGGAAAAGTAGTTTAATTAAGAAGAAAATGCAGTAATAAAACATAAAATCAATGTCTATGCTTAGGACGGTGTAATTTCACAATAAACTGGAAACTTATGAAAAGTTCTGGAGAATTAAAATGGCAACTCTTGGCCACAGAACACTCTCTAACGCTGGGAAGCTCATCCCTTGGGGATCTGCTCCACTACGGGAGCCCGAGCACACACCCACATAGACAACAGTGGCTCTCAAAAGCATTTTGAGTGCTGCCACTTCTAGAAGTGCAATCTTAGATAAAACCAGAGCTATCTGAGAAGACGTGAAGTACTTGTATAAGAAAGTCAAAACTGTGCTGAATGCAGCATGGGGATAAGGTTCAGTTGTACAGGATCCTAGAGTGGCTTAAGTAAACCTGGATTTAGTGACAAAGTGAGGTTTTAGAGGTGGAGGAAGCTTTGGGAATGAAAAGTGCAGCACAGCCTTTTACAGTTTCATGTTAAGATTGCTTTAGTAAAGTGTTCAGCTTCTGCAGCACAGAAGATTTTCAAATTCTTGCAAGAGGTGCTAGACTGACAAAATGTGAACCTTCGCTCCTCTATTTATTGTGTCTTAATAGCAAAGACATAGCACTAGAAGTATCTGGATGAACTTTTTATTTCTTTGCCTGTTTGAGAGATTACATCCCATGCTAAATTCAGATTCTGCGTTTATTTTGTAATTTGCCCCTCTAATGAAACAGCACAGAAAAATGTCAATACACGTCAGCTTATGAGAATTCTTTGGTGGGTGTGATGAACACTCATTCCTGTCTACTAGAAAATGGTCCCAAACCAGTGATTTGTTTGATACAGACCACAAAGGTTGTCAGATGGCATCTTCTTATTGCTGATACTAACGAGGTCAGCGCAAACTAGATTTGAGTAAGTTTTAGTAACTACTACTTGTTTTCTATATTTAATCTTCACCACCTCCCCACTTCCTCCTTTCAAATGGGAGCGAAAGAGGAAGTGTCAGCATGCGATACGGAAACTTGTTCGTCAAAGATACTGCACTGACTTCTTTGGTCAAGAAATATGTCAGTGTTCAAACAGCTGGCTGGCTGTAGGGCACTGATTTTTATTTATATGTATTTTTTTAACATTCGCTCATCACCATCCACCAGCCCAAAATGCATATGGATCACTGAGCTGGAGATAAAGAACCGTGCGTCACCTTCCCAACACCACGCAGCATCCCAGACTTCAGTTAGCTCAGTACAGCACTTGTGCGCACCCTGCTTAACTTTTTGTTAAGTTCCTCGGCTTTGCCAATAATCTCCTTGGAATCCATAGGATATAAAATGGTATTTCAATGAAGAAGTTGAAAAATCCAATTTTTTATTTGATTTTGGTCTAGATCAGGTTACCATTATATGCCTGAAGGACTGCTCGACCAGATCTAAGAGCAATAACAAAAATAACGGTAATAGTTTATTATATTTGATATATTGCCACTGGCTGATAAACATCAAAATCTAAATTAAAAAGGCTAAAGACTTAAGTTATTTTTACATTTGTTTTTAAAAGGGGAATTTGCAAACTCTATTACTAGCAGACAGTTCAGTGGTGAAAGCTGTCTCTGAGGAATGTAAGACTATGTGTGATTTTCTTTAAATCAGAATGTTTGGTAATTCTATAAGGTACTACTGTATCTAGCTGCCTATGCAACTTAGTTAAAAACAAAAGAGAACAAAGAAAAAAGCTAAACAAAATGCATCCTTTTGAAATTACAGGATGCAGATGTAAACATCAGAACCTAGTGGCTCTCATACCATCGAGCTCTTCCTGCAAAACCGTGTATTTCAGGGTTACAGTGACACTAGAATGTGCTGCTTTTAACACAATAATTCAACTAGGCTCTTGACTTAGTAGCAACGTTTATGACAGTAAATGACTTACAGAAAGCTGGACCTATAGTTCAGGCAGCTCCTGTTTTGTATAAAGATTTACAGAAACGGAGTCTGAGAGAAAAATACCTTCATTAATATTGCGTACTTACGTGGAGTATATTAGTGAGGCTCATCAATCGGGAAATGGCTGCATTGAACAAATGATCCTTTGTGAAATACTCTGTTACCTTGCATTAGAAGAAAAGGTCTATCACTAATTAAAATTCTCAAACATGGAAATTGTTTTTTTTAATGAAAAATAATTATTAATAATTAATTTCAATTTGTGAAATATGCCCATCTTAACTCTTACATGGAAATCACTTTGGCATGCAAACACATTATATATGCAATCACAAGTGGGTTCGGGAAAATAATATTCATATAAAAATGCAGCTGACTAGCTTCCCCTCTGTTTCAGGATTTTAAAAGCTTCAATCAATGCCAATGAGAACTGTGTATTAGTAATCGCCCTCTATTTCCTTTAATCAAATATCTTCCTTTTGCCCGTACAAGAGGTCTTCATACTTGTAAATCCAGTTATGCTGGTGAAAGCTTGTCCATAGCTTGCAAGATTATAATTCTGAAGTCTGTTAAAAGACCTGGAAGGTCCCTCACCACAGGTTTTAAATCAGGAAAAGTTTTTATCCATTGAGAAATATTTTAAGTTAATTTTGGAGGTATTTATGTCTCCTTCTGAGTGTTGGATAATTGAACTGACACTAATCACAGCATGAGACAACACATTAGAGACAAACAATCATTTCAGTAATATTTTTTTTTAGGATAACACTAACATATTTCACCAACAACATTTTTTCATTCTATATGAAACAGCAGACATGATAATGAGGTATGAAGCAAACAGACCAAAAGCTTTTGTTAGGGATAACCAGCATAACTCACCTATAGCTTTGCTACTGGAAATGGAGTTACTTGAAACCCAGACGGATAATGTTTTAATGCCATAACATTTCATCCTTTAAACAAGGCATGCAGCAGAGAAATTTTGCCAATCCAAATCTTATTACTTTGCAAAAAAGTTTTGCCCCATAGAATTTGTACGTAAATAACATTACTTATACAGAGAATAATTCACATAAAAATTATGAGCTACTCATCTGAGGAAAAAGCTTTTGGCTCTGTAAGTCAAGCATACGGTTTTAGCATAAGCAGCAACTTATTTAGTCATGTACAAAGTATGTAAGTGTTTCTTTTAACCTCAGAAATCACCAGATTCTTCTGCTCCCAGATCTTTCTGGCTTCAGTCTTCTCTTTCTTATTCAGAAGCTCAGGATTGGGCATGGTTCCTGAAGTCCTTGCTTCAATAAGTTTGGTTACAAGTGTCCAGAGGCGCGTCTGCCATCTCTGAACACCTGGCATAGCATCAGCTGAGATTAATGAAAGAATGCAGAAATAAATTTCAGTTGCAATGAACGAATCCAAAACTTTAAAGAAAAGCAGAAAGGAAACTGAATGCTAGAGTTAAACATTTTAAAAAACCACAACTGTATTTTAAATGAAAAATGTCAATTCAATTAAAAATGCCTTTACAAATAATGCTGTGTTGCCTTAATGGAAAGAAATCAGTAAGATAAAACAAAAGTATTTTTCTGCAATGACTTTAAAACATATATACAGGAAGAATATTTGCTAAATCTGTAAAATAACCTAACGTTATGTCAATGTTAGAATGCTGATCTCATATTTTAATGACTCAACAAAACAGTTCTACATGCTCTCATTTTTCAAACTCATGGAAGCATACATACATATATTCACACACGTGTGCGCACACATTTTTTTAAATGGAGGGGTTTCTTCTAAATTTTGATTTTAGAAATTGCATGTACTTCTGTTGCTACAGAGATGCTACTGTGCTAATGAGCACAGGCCCTGATCCTTGGTACCATCTTTTAACACAGCTTAGTTTGGGATGGGGAGACTATAAAGCTGTGCACCCCGACGCTGCAGGCATCAGTCCTGCCCCATGGCTGCTCTGCGGACGTGTTGCTGTGAGCTCAGGACTGCGCTACGGAGAGGCCCCAAAATACGGCTGCCCACAGCCAAGTCCTCCATGTGGTGTTGTGCAGAGCCACCAGTGAAGGTAGGCATGGCTTGAGGTGTGGCACCGATACGGCTTTAACGCTCTCTTCCAGAGAGCCGTGTTTCTACTAGACTGCACAGCGCTACATCACACTGCACAGTAGCAACATCTCCTAAGACGTCCCAACTGGCAAAAGCTTCCAGTTCTGCTCCAGCAACTGCACTTGCAAAGACCGCCAGGGCTACTACTAAGCTGGGAGAAGTAAAAGACCTGTGAGTGACTGTAATACAGGTGGATTATCTGTCTGATTGCACTAGATGAAAGACCTCCCGCACATCTGGGAACAGTAAAATACAACCTGATTGTCTATGTCCGTGTGATCCTCATGAACTCTCATAGGTGGGACTGGAAGTAAACTCCCCAAACTTTCCATCTCCTGTTCATACCAGAAGTATGCAGATCTAGACACAGCAGGCTTGGCGTTACCCAGACTGTAGTAATGGTGTAATAAGCTGCTGGGTAAGTTTGGCCACATCTGGTCCTGCATAGGCTGGAAGAGGGGAGAGGGGGAGAGAATGCCCACCACTGAAAAGTCAAGGAGTCTGAACCAGCTGCTTCAGAGGGAATTATGTACCTGTGCACTGTTAGGGACACAGAAGTTAAAGCCTGATTCCAAATGGTTGGGGTTTTTTAAGAGACCTTTTCACATGCCTAGCTCTGTACTTTTGTAATTAGATGGTGACAGAAAGCCAACTAAGAAAAGTCATAAAGCCCACTCCTCCAGTACATACAATAGTGCAATAATATATAAGTTAACACATATGAATATAAAGGGTGACCGACACCGACTGAAATACTGCTTAGTGCAGGCTGAACTGAGTAGCAAGAAGCTAACACAAAACAGAATGAAGGAGGACACCTTTTTAAACCAGGCATGGAGTCTTCTATTAAAGCCTTATGCAACAAGAAGGCTAGATTTAAATGTATGCATAAGACTACATTAAAATGTATGAACCACAGTAGATAAAAGAAATTAAGATCTGACAGTATGACAAATTGCAAGATGGCAGTAAATAAGTGCCTAGGAGGGTAATTCTTAACTTATCCAAGAAATAAGCTCATAAAAATGTCATGTGTGTACAAACAGTAGTTACTAGGAACTCTGACTGTCTTCTAATGAGATTCTTATGAGAAGTATTTCATAGTCCAGCTTACAAAAGCCATTACCTATGTGTGTAAATAAAAGGAAATAATGAAATATTGCAAAGTTTTATCTGCAATCTGATATGACTAAAAAAAAGCATCTTGTAAATGGAGAAAATAAAACAAAAAACCCCCAAACAACAGAAACAATCTGACTTACTTTTAGCATCCCACAAAATATCTTGTTCTGGAGGAGCAGCAAACAGAATGTAAAGACGTAGGGTGTCAATACCATACTCTTTCACTAATTCTTCAGGGTCGATTCCATTGTGCTTAGACTTGCTCATTTTCTCCCAAGCAACTTGGAGCTTCTCACCAGTTTTTAGGCGAACCGGTTCAGTTCCTAGATATTAAGATACATGCAAAACATTAAAACAAATTTTGCTCATTTATAACAACAATTAATTTTGTTCCCTAAGCATAAGAAGCAGCAACAATTTCTAGTGGGGTTTTTTGGTTTCCAAACAGCTTAAAGAGGAAAAACACCCATTGTAAACACCTTTTCCTCCCAAGTTTTTCCTACTTTAATGTTTTAACACAAGTAATATCCCCATGCTTCCATTACATCATGACAGATAGTCTCCTTCTACCATGTGGAAGCTGTATCTGGCACTCATCCTATGTGCTACCTTGACAGCCCCTGAGATTTAAGCATTGTTATAATCACGACATTTAAAACCTCGTAGATAGGTGTACTGATTTGGTACAATTCTGACCTGCACTTAGCTTTTACAAACACATGATTTATAGGTTTCAATTGCAGTAACTTATCCTGACAAGAACATGCCTTCTGTTGTGTCCTGGGTTTGGCTGAGATAGAATTAATTTTCTGCTTAGTAGCTGGTACAGAGTGTTTTGGATTTAGTGTGAGAATAATGTTGATACCACACTGATGTGTTAGTCATTGCTCAGTAGTACTTATCCCAAGTTAAGGATTTTTCAGTTTCCCATGCTCTGCCAGTGAGGAGGTGCACAAGAAGTTGACCCGGTCTACCCAAAGGGATATTCCATACCATAGGACATCTCGCCCAGTATAGAAACTGGGGGAAGTTGGCCAGGAGGGGACGATTGCTGCTCGGGGACGGGCTGGGCATCAGTCAGCAGGTGGTGGGCAATTGCACTGTGCATCACTTGTCTTGTCTTAGGTTTTATTCTGCTGTTGTATTCCTTTTCATTACAATTACTATTATTACTATATTTTTTTATTATTATTGTTAGTATCATATTTTAGTTTAGTTATTAAACTGTTCTTATCTCAACCTATGAGTTTCACATTTTTTTGATTCTCCTTCCCATCTCATTGGGAGGAGGAAGGAGTGAGCAAGTGGCTGTGTGGTGTTTGGTTGCTGGCTGGGGTTAAACCACAACATATCGCATGAATTTAGAGGTGGAAAGGGGCATTTACACTGATAAAGGTGCAACCAAGCAAAACCACCAGGTACAGAAAAGCCCTAGCTTTTCTGGAAGAAAACAGGACAGCAGACAGTGGTAAACATAACGGGGTTTGTTTGTTTTGGTTTTTTTAACTGACTTATGGAGTTTGTACGCAGAAGAACAGTGACAACAAGTTTGTGCAAGAGGAGTGCTTAAGGGAGGCAAATACGACCAAACCACTCTTGTTGCTACAGGTCCGCAAGCCAGGACTTGCTGCTTATGCAGTGAAGGCACTGGAAAGAACTGGAGAAACAGCACTTTCTCCTATACACGTTTTACATTCCTAATACCTACCGAATATACCAACATCTGTGTTAGCTTTGCCACGATGTTTTTGTAGGTTTTCTGTTTGCTGGGACTACTAGCTCCATTCAGCAAGCTGCTGAGCACTGTCTTAACAAAACTGACTTCCCGATCTTTGGTCTACACTGGAGCTATATAATACCATAGCACTGTCTCTGTGTTTGGATGCAATTAAAAGCTGCTGGATTAGTAGGGTCTCTGTGCATATGAATCCAAAACTCGCAGAAGTTGCTCTCCAGTTTAAATATTACGAGGATTCATTTTCTCTTCCAAGTTTTCCCAGCACTGAGACTTGTACACTGAAGCAGTCCCCGACTTTCTGGATGCGCCTATGCTGATTTCCCCATGCAGTCTCTCTTACCAGTGAGATCAACTTCCTCTCTCTTCAAACACTGGCCTGTTGTTGTTAGTCTGAATGTCTGATTCTTGATAAGACCTTGAACCAAGAGCTTACGGAAAGGCTCCCTAAGGATGGAAAGAAAAAGAAACTTGTCTGTCGAAAAGAGCTGTTAAAAGCATACCTTATGATAAGCCCCAGGTGTTGAGCCAACCAGGTACAATTATTTAATGAAACAAGAATTTCAAGTTGACTATACATAAAGGGTTGTCACCTTAGAAAGAGTACTTTGTGCATTTATTCATCGTGGCTGGCTGGCAACTATCAGTATTGATTTGTATTCTGCACGCATCCTTGCATCCTGATTTAGTACTGAGTTATTCTAATGTCACTTTTCAAATTATTCTAATGTCACTTTTCAAATTAGCATATGGATAATACATGAAAGTTTCTTGGCCCACAGTACAATTTCACTAACTTCAAGCTAAATCCCCATGTATAAAAGTATCCAAGTACCTGGCCTCACTGTCTTACAAATATTTAGTTCTGGCGTCTCTCCAAGGAGAACATTTTTTGAACAGATCAAAATCTTGCTGTACATTTCTTTCTATAAACGGAGAAGATAGTTTCTCTAACATAAGCACTTGCATGCCTTGTCCCTTTGCAGAACTAGCCATGAAGACCTAGTTGTAAGAAAATAGTACGCTAGAAAAACAGCAACACTGCAAAGTTTGTATGTTGGTGGACCAAATTTTTAGCATCTTGAACATAAAAACTTTACTTTCCTAGCAAAATTTACATCAGGAAGAGTAAACTCTCATCAAATGTGTGTATGATAGAGCTAAAAAGAGCCTTAAAAGCACCAAAGTTAAGGGCAGTAGTGCACTCAGCAAGAAATAAACTAAGTGAACACTGCTCTGGTTGACAGATACATTATTGCGGCCACCCCCTTTAACGATCTCGCATTTCTAATTCATCGAGTCAGATGTCGCTGTTTTCACTGAACAAAAGACAACAAAATCAATCTCTAGCGGTTTTGGTCCCCACTCAATAGGCCAAGAAGGTAAAGTCTACTATGGTGGTGACCACCATTCTGGAGGATGTGCTAATCAGCGCTGGTTACTACTGACTTGCACCTCCTTCTGCTCACGTGCGTGCTCATCATTAAGCAGTCTGAATCCGCCACACTTCCACCTAATGAAGCCCCACATATCTAGCAAAACAACTTACATTAAAAGGATGCATTACTCCTATTTACATAACTTTTTAAAAGCTAGAATAAATCCATCTAAAGAAGAAATAGTAAAATCAGACTTCCACATATTACTTCACATGTACAAAAAAGTCATAATCCAAAACACTGCTCACTTTTAAGGAGTTCATTTAGTATTTTATATTATTAGGAAATATAACTTACACGACAATTTATCTCGCAATTTAAAACATAGTAATTTATTTAATGATATAGTTAAAGTATTATTAAATTATATAACAATTATGCATGTTTTAACAGTACTAAAGCAGATAGCTTCCAAGTACTAGTCTTTAAACCCTTTTGGTGACTCTGAATTAAAGGAGATATTTGAAAGAAAAGCCTTAAACCAGGAGACAGAAAGTGGCAGCCTTCATATCTTCAACATATTCATGTTTGAACATGAGTTCCCTTCCTTGCATATTTTGTATACTTCTAAATATTTTGCAAGTACTGGCACATAGCAGTGTATCATTCAGTCACCAAGCAGTACGAGCCCCTGCCATGCCACCTGGTTTTATCAACGATGTTAAGTAAGAGCAGCAATTCAAGCATCTCTATAAATAGTTTTTAGACAATATTTCACAGGTTGCCTGAAAAATCCTCTTGTTTAGAAATAAATTAAAGGAACTTAAGGAGATGAGAACTGAACTCAAATTTAGACAGTACAAACAAGAAAAAGTATTTTAAAAATATAAGGCAATAATTAAAATCTCAAATAATTATCTCAAATTATCCAAGTGAATTAGAACATGAAAGTCAGGAACAAAAACCTTGTAATCCTATCATCAACAAATGCTTCAGCAGATAACTGTTCAGGGTAAGTTTCTTCTACAACCTAAAGGCATTACACCAAGGAAAACAAGATTTTTTCCCCCTCTCATTCGGTACTTCAGTCTGTTTAAGATCTTGAACAGTTATTAAAATAGATACACTTGCTGCTATCTAAAATAAAGCTAATGAAGTAGCCAGAACATCCAAATCAGACAGGGCTCTCCGCTAGAAGTGATTTTTCAAGGAACACTTATTTTTAATGACAAAGAGTTAGTTCAGATCATATGCCAAGTTATTAGAAGCTGAATGCAGGAATGAGCATTTCCTATTTTTGTTTATGCTGACAGAGGCTACAAAAATGCAATACAAATACATTACCAAGTATGGGGAAAAAAAACCCCGACATGTTCCTAGTGGGAGACCGCAGGAGAATGGAGACATGCCCAAAACGAGAAAGCTAGAGCCCGTCTAATAAACCCAGGGCTCAGAAACAACTTGAGCCCTGTACTGAATTTCTCCTGAAGTGCACAGGGATTTTGTCAGTGTTCTGGTGGCTCCATCTCATGGTCACATGCAGAGTTACTTACTTTACATTCATAAAACCATACACCTAAAAACTTCCCCTTCGAAGAAGGCAAAGTGTTCCTTGGCTGCGGAAGGGAACTGCCAAGACACTGCAGCACATCAGGTGTGATGCAATTCTGATGTAAACACTGCAGCACCCCGTCACAGCCTGGCGTCATAAATACCTCCTGAGCCGTACCGCTGCGAACAACCAAAATGACGCTATATTCAGACAGACAGATGTTTCCAGCACAGCACATGAAGAGTTGGCTTGAGTTTCTTTGAATGCTGGATCCCATTTCGGATTGTAAGGATGCTGGCACGGGATACGCCTTCACCTGCCCCTGAAGTTTGTTTGTGCCCGTGCCGGAGTATGGGCACCGTGGCCGTAGCTGTGTGAAGCTTTCGATCGTGTTGAACGGCAGATGGGACCCCACCGCAAAGTCTGCCCGACACCTCTGAGAAGGATCAGCTGCGCTAGCCACGAAGGGTGTAATCCATCTTTGTCCTTGCAGTAACGTAATAAATACAGGTTCATCTCTATGACAGACCAATCTCTGCATACAGGAGCATGCAGTGGATGGAGGGGCAAGCGTGACTGACAGGTCAGGGACTCCTGCTCTGTGCCATGTCCTCACGCTCCTTGCTCTGCTCCGTGCAAGGCGAGTAGCAGGACTTTCAATCCAATTACAAACGACCGGGCTGGAAGGACCCTGTGGAGCCTCGGTGATGAAGAGCAGGCTCCGAAGGGGACAGCCCTAGCAAGGGAGCTCACTGCAGGTACCTGCATCCTGCACCTGTAGAAAGGCTGAGAGCGGCCGATGCTGTGCCCTGGGATGCAGACGAGACCTGGGTCAAGCACTGTCAGCTGAGTTCAGGCGCGTGTGACGCCTGCTGTTAGACCGAGCTGTAACAACCCCGCAGCCCTGTGGAAGGCCAAACAGAAGTGATTGGAGGACGTGGGAGCCGATCGTTTTAGGCAGAAAAAAGATCAGATGATACTGAATGTCCAGGATTTTACACAGTCAATAGCTGAGTGCTTTTACTTAAAAATTAACACTAGTGATAAAGTCCCTAATGAACGTAGAGAAGCTCTAACATCCCTCCGGCACAGAATGAGTTATTTCTGTCACACACATCTTCTTTTATTCTGTAATTCAGCTAAGTGAAAATAGTGCCTTCTCACTCAACAGATTTGCTCTCTATCGCAGTCAAATCTGCTGACTTAATGGCAACAATAAACTTTTTTATTGCTTTATAATCCCTTCAGGAAGAATGTGCTAGATCCCATTTCCAATTACTAAAGTCTAGGGCAGAGCCAAAGTCTGCGTAACTCGTACTTGCAAGAGCACAGTCGAGCAGGTGTGCGGTACCCACTGGCCGCGGCGGGTGCCGCTGGAGCAGAGGAGGGGGTCGCTGGCCCCAGCTGCCCCCCCAGCCCCTCTGCCAGGGGTGGGCCCCGCTGGGAGGGCTGCCGGGCTTCGGAATTCATTCGACAACCGATGCACTTTACAGACCAGATTGCCAAAGCAAAATGACATCAATCTGGGCTTAATCTGTTATCGCATGTACCAATACCCAGAGGGTGCCAGTTATTCTGCCTTGTCACTACTGAGGAAATGAGGAACATTTCCCACCATCTCCAGTGCAATGTATTAAAAAAAGTAAATAAAAGATCATGTCCCATCTTCGGGGGCTATTTAAACCATATTGACATTACAATTTTAGATGCTCACAAACATTGCATTTTCTATGAAAGCACGTGTGATGTCTGTAAATGCCTATTTTATACAAGACGTCTATAAAACTTCTATAATAATAATGTACATCGTATTTGAAGAGATTGCTTTGAAAATCTAAACCATGGAGTTTTTAACTTTCGTTTTCAACTCATCGTTATATTCGTACCCATTAGTACAGAATTAGAGATTATCAGCAAGTATTTCAATGGATTTGAAAGTCAAAAGATATGAGCCTAATAATGAAAATTTCCATGAAGAAAACCTAACAAAATGAAAAATTACTACAGATTAACAGGGGAATCATAAAAATTTGTCAGGATACTAGATAACACTTTAAATGGTGGCAGCTTTCAGTAACTGAGATAGAGCAGAATTTTACTCATTTAATCAGTGAACAGGACCTGAGCTACTAGAGAAAGGCTGAAAATGCACAAGAGGGCAGTGTTTTTTAACATTTTAATGTTTTCCCTCAGAGCTGCGGGCTTCGACACCATGACTTTAAGCTTCCTAACAATAAGGTGGTTGCTTCTAGTGACCCTTTTGAGATCTCTCAGACCAGTCCTTGAGCAGTCCTAACAGAAGACTAAGCAAAAGTGGCTTCTGACCAATGCTAAAACATTTAAAACATGTGGTAATATTTATAAAGGAGTTGTGATTTCCGTATCAGAACAAAATTCTAATTTGACTTCATGGCTTAAAAGCACCTTTAACTTGCGTACAGCTAAAGCAAGCAAACAATTTTGCACACAGTGATGAATTTGTTAAGAGTCATCTTGCACAGGCATGAGCAGCACAAACAACAGATCCTAGGAGCAACGCTGCAGCGTATCCTCACGTGTGCGACAGTTCTTGAGATTGTATATGGCGTCAAAGGAATTCTCCACAGTCTTGCAAACTACTTCTATGGAAAGCGATTCTGATTTTCTCTGCTATTGTCACTAGACATAGCCGGTGCTTCTTCAGCATTTTTTTTCATTGAACTTAAGAGTTTTGTTCTGCATTTTACCATATTTAGACCAGTCTACACTACACACCTTTGGTGCTACGGTTTTGTCACAGCAGAGTGTGAACAAAGCACAGTTCAAATTAATACAGCTACAGAATCATTGAGTCTTAAAATACTGTAGGATGGAAGGGACCTTTGGAAGTCATTTGGTCCAACTCCTTTCTCACAGCAGACCTAACTTCAGGTGGCTCAGGGCCCCATCCAGCTGAGTTTTGAAAATATCCAATGATGGAGATCCCACAACCTCTCCGGTCAAACTGTTCCAGTCTGATCACCTTCGCTGTCAAAACTACTTTTCTCTGTCCAGCCAGATCTTGCTGCAATCTGTGACTGTTATTCCTTTCCTTTCTCTGCACAGCTCCGAGAAGAGTCTGGTCCTGCCTTCTCTATAAACCTCCTTGAGGTACCAGTAGACTGCACTTACATTCACTCCTTAGCCTTCTCTTCTCCATGGTGAACATGCCCAACTCCCTTGGTCTCTCCTTGTACGTCATATGCTCCAGCCCCTGTCTACTTTCCTGCTCCTCCACTAAATCCTCTTCAGTTTGACAATGTCCCTCACACTGGGGGGGGCTCAAAACCGGACACAATATTCCAGATGTGCCTTCCTGAGTGATGAGCAGAGATAATCAAAGGTGCACATTGTTTTGCTAATGTAGCGCAGTATACTCTCATGCCAACTGCTGACTCACATCAAACTCGGTGTTCATCAGGACCCCTAAAGCCTTTTCCTGTCGCAATCCTCTCCGCATAGTCGGCACAGCCCCAGTTGTTTGTGTGGGTAACCTGCTCCATGTACCTGAGATTCCCATCAGCACTTCAGACTTGCTTCTCCAACTCATCGAAGTCCTCTGCATAGCAGCCTTGCCATCCAGAGTATCAATGGCTTCTCTCAGTGTGCAGTGATCAATGAACTTGCTGAGGGTGAGCACTTTGTTGCAGTGCCCAGGTTGTTGATGAAGATGTTAAAGACAATTGGCCTCAGCAGTGACTCCTGAGGAATACCATTTGCAAACAGCTGCCAGTCAGACTTTGAACATTGACCCTTTGAGCCTGATGGTCCAGATAGTTTTTCCATCCATGCTGTTGTCCACCCATTCAGCCTGCATCTCCCCAGTTAGACTACAAGGATGCCATGGGAGAACTTGCTAAGAGCCTTGCTAAAGTCATGGTAAAAGATAGGCACAGCTCTCTTCTCATCCACAGAGGGAATCATCTCACCATAGAAGGAAGGCAGATTAAGTTTGGCATAATTTCCTCTTAGTAAATCCATGGTGGCTACTCCGAGTCACCTTGTCTTTCATGTGCCTGAACTTGTATGTGTCTGGTTTGCTTAAGTGATCCCTAACTCAGTCCTACTCTACAGTGGGTAGTACCTCTCTCCTTCAAACTCTTCTAAGCACAGACCTTGACAGCAAAGGCCAAGGCAAAGATTGTCCTTTGCTACTAAGCTCTTTGATTTTGCGTCAGGTCAATGTTTTCCCTGATATTCTTTTCAATGTATCTGCAGACATCATTCTTACTGCCTTCACATTCTTCACCAGTGTCAATTCTAGATGAGCTACGGCCTTTCCTAATTCCACTCTACCTACCCAGTCAATGCTTCCACATTCCTCCCTCAGCCCATCCTCACTTCCACCTTCCATGCGCTTCTTTTAATGCTTGAGCTCACTCAGGAGGTGCCTTTTCAGCCAAGCTGGCTTCTTTCCATGCCTTCTCATTTTCTTGCACACCACAGAGGACCACTTACTTTGCAAGCAAACCTCCCCTTCCTTGTGATGTTACTTTACAGTGACAATACTTCAGCTACCGTAGTTAATGTCATTTTGGGAGGTGGAAGAATTTGACTAGCAAAAGAACATTTTGCTGCTGTGTGTCCCAGCTCCACTAGACGGCTGGTAGATAAGGATTGTAAAGCTTTTTGTAGAACTGATAAGCCTGAAACTGTTTGCAAGGGAAAGCTCTGAAATTCTCCGCTTAAAGGAGTAGTGCCTCTGAGAGAAAGGGTCTGCTTCAAGATGTCCACTCCTCTAGAGAAGAAACAGCCTTCCTGCTGCAGCTACGCAAGCGGGGACAACAGAGTGAAACACAGGTACACAAACCATCCACATCCAAAATTTCAAATACAGCTTTCACTGCAAACTATTTTGCAGGCAAGAATGAGCAATGAAAACGCATCACCTATTTTCATCAAATGATTATGAAATAACTCAGGGACATATTCTGCTGGCTCCACTAACTAGTCCATCTTTTTCTGGCACAAAGCTACTTAAGTTCCAGTTTTGTAGCAAAACTACTGCATTCAAGAGAGTTCAGTGCCATGTATATGTAGATTCCTCTTTTACATCAGGTTTTTAGAGTGGATACTAGTAAAGAATGAATGTAAATGAATTGCTAGCTGAGAAATTAATGAGCAGTTATTCTCATGGGACCACGCATTTTGACTCAATCTATTCAAACATCTCTGCTGATGGGAGAACAGGACAGAGCACGGGGCAGTATTTCACTGCTCTGACACTACTATCCTCCCAGCTGAGGCATGCCTGTGACGGCGTTTTAGGGTACAGAAGGGCAGAATTTCAGTGGAAATGGGGATGCCAAGCTGGGAACCTAACAGAGAAGACAAAGAACAGAACATCAGATGACTCGCCTTCCTGCCTCAAACTTTATCTCTAACCAAAACAGAGGATAATGAATTAGGCTATAGCAGCATCAGCAACAAGAGTAGTTAAAAGTAATTCTATAAAAGTCATTACATAAAAAATAAATTGACAGTAGATAAATATACTGCTTTTGCTTATCAAGAATTGTTTTGCACTGTTCAGCTCCAACACTGCAGTGAATTGTAGGAGTGTGTCATTTTCTACACATGCATGGTTCCACTGAAATTAATGGTATTACTGGCAGGAAGTTACCTAATTTGAAATAATAGCACTAATCAGAATGCCTGAAATTACTAGTTTATGCAAGCTTTTGCAGGCTGAAAACCTACAGCAGCATTTTATCACTTGCTCTGAGCCAGTTAATACTCATGTAATAAAAACGCTATGTATGTGTGCATACAGAAAATGCAACTGACTGCGAGAAACCAAGTAGTTAGCCAAGACTGACGAGCAGGAAAATTCATCAGGCTTATTCAATGTAATGTTCTACCATCGGAACAATGTCCACTAATTCTCTTGTTAGTGTAATGAAATATGAAAGATTTTTATAGAAATATAAAAGGCTTACTTGTGTTTTGTCATCTTTAGATCATGGCAGAAATGGCTGAAAAACCTCGCATAGAATAAGTGCATAACTGCATGCTCCTTTCCTCCGATGTACAAATCCACAGGCATCCAGTAGTCTGCTAAGTCACTATTAAAGGGTCTGAAAAAACACAATTACAGAAAAATACAATGGGTAAAAGAAAGATCAGCTCTACTAAAGTAGCTCATCATACTTGACTGGACACCACTGTTTACTGAACACAACACATGTGTAATAAAACTTTTATTTTCCTACCAGATCTTTTTAATTTTTAAGAAGCAATATGCTCATTAAATTATAGACAAAAATTTAATTTCCACGGAGACGCAGATCCACAAAAATATTATTTCCCTGTATTTTAGGCAAGCAACTACTATTTCACATACATTACCTGAGAAAGTGCTGAAAATATGTGCTTGCTCTTTAAATGATTTTTTTATGAATACCCTGTGGTTAGTCTTCATTTTTTTTAGTATTTATCAAGTTTAACATACAAATATATTAGAGTGAAAGACAAAAGGCATGCCCACTCCAAACCTGATTTGTTTTAATCAGAGGTTTGCATTGTTGCCATTAGAGGGCAATGAAGCAGTTTAAGTCTGCAAAATATTCTGAAGAGTCAGATGGGTCATCACACTCCAGCTGAAGGATGCTTGATGAATTGACAGTAAATTTGTCATTTACAGCATATCTACTACTGTCGTTGGAGGTCACCTGCATGGCTCCTAGCATTGCTTACTGCTTCATCAAATATCGTTGTGTCTTCTGTAACGGGCTCCTGCCTGCAAAATCCCATTTGGAGAGTAGTTGTTCTTTAATGCATGTTTTATGGACCCCTTCTAACAAATGTACTTGTTTTGTCAGTCCGTTTGATTATTCTATCTGTAATTTTTGTAACAGCAACACTTTTTTCCTCACAGATGAGCCTAGAAGCATACCGTGGATCTGGGATTCACGTCTTTAGTGGAACAAATCAAAACTAACCTATTCACAGGGTTCCAAAATCAACAGAGTAATTCTACCAAATTCTAGACCTGTGAAATATGGCTTATGGAAATAAAGGGTTTATGTATAAGCAGCTTAGCTAAAAACCCCAAATAAATAAAGCAAATGGAGGTCACGATCTAGTGCAGAAGTCCATATAAATGTTCTTACTTCAGTATAAACCAGATTTAGCTACACTAAGCTGTTACTCTGACAGCTGTTAGATCCAACTATTTTCTTCAACTTCTGGAAAAATCCCTCTTGTCCATGCACAAAAAGAATATTTCAAACTGTCACTGGAGAGGAAGCAATCTGCCTAACTTAATAATATTAATAATAAATTCACAATATCACTAGAAAATAATTAAAATTAACATGAAATAAAAATGTTCACAGAAGATTTTTCTGTAGTTTAACTAAACTACTGCCGCCAATATAAAGAAAATAATTGGCCCAGCTATACTAAATCACTCACTATGTAGTATGTACCCAGACACTGCTCTGGACAATAAACAAACAAATCCCCAAACAGCCCTACCTGTGGTATCAATATCTTAAAAATGCAGCTCTTCCTATCTTCCCCAGAGTACATAGTAGAGCTGTTCCACTAATTCCTCTTTGGAAAAACCAGTGCTATCAGCAGTGCTACTACAGGCAGACTATGAGGCAGACAAACAGCTAAATAACTATATCTATCTTCCCACACTCTCCATCCTGCAGCCACTAATACACAGCACATGAAAAATCTCCCTTCATTAATTATGCATACAGTCCAAGTGCCAACACAGCAGGAGCTTGCAGCGATGCCACTTCACTTCAGGTCTGTGCACAAGGAAGTAGCAAGAGTTACTGGAATTCAACAGGAGAGAAATGAAAGTGCCATTCTGCCAGAAATGAAGGAGGTGGTGGAGTCACTGTCCCTGGAGGTGTTCAAGAAAAGACTGGACGTGGCACTTAGTGCCATGGTGCTGTAAGGGCAAAGGTTGGACTCGATGATCCCAGAGGTCTCTTCCAACCAAATTGATTCCGTGATTCTTGGCAGTTGGATGTTACACCGGACTATTCCTCTTCCTACCGGTGGAAAAGCACTCTCTGCCCACACACTGAACTACTCGGTGTATCGCCAGGGAGGGTACGCTCCATGCAACTTACCACAGCCTCGGAGAGTCACGGTAGGCTGTCATTCCTGATGGCACCCTCCACTAAGGACTATCCTCAGTTCCTCGGCTGCACACCTCCTGCCCTGTAAAACCCCTTCATCCCAACTTCTGCCCTGCAGCTCCTGTCCTTACACAGTTGTGCCTACACATCTGCTCTTGTAGATCTCCTGGCGCAGAGGCAACCAAATGCCACGTTTTTAGAGCAGTTCCTAGTCCACCCTGTGCTGCTGTGCTCAGGATGGGCACAAGAACAGGGCAGCACAGGGGTTTGGGCCGTCTTCTGCCAAGGCAGTCAGAAGGCAGAAGCACCAGAGCGTCCGGCCTTTCCCTTCCCGGCTATTCCATGGGCTCGTTGCCCGCAGCCCTCACCTCTCCCTGTTGTGAGGGTCCGTGTACCTCAGGTAGTACCAAGCGGAATCAACAAACGTGTCCATGGTATCAACTTCTCGCCGTGCTGCTGCTTTACACCTGAGCAAGAGGGAAGGAAAAAAAAGCTATTTTTAGAGAAGTGACAAGCTTGGGGAAAAAAAACCAACCGTGTATAGAGTGGCCATGAAGATATTTAGATTGAAAACTGAACAGATCTCAACAGTCTGAAGAGTGATGTGTTCCTAAAAACTCCACCACCAGTAATGGGGCCAACTATCCTTCCCTCTCCCTCCCAAACCAAAGCAAACACAAACCAAAAAGAAGCCTGAACAGCTGTAGCATCCAGCAGTAGTGGAAGACAGCACTGCACCGGACAGCCCCCTCAATTGTTTGTTCCTGGAATTTTTTAGAATTGCCGTTTTAAAAGAAACAAAGCAAGTCTTAGAGCACAGACAAGCGTACTTTGCCATAAAGTTAATGGGTACTCAATATATATCATGCTTGTTAGGTACCAGCAGACAAGTCATTTTATAAACATTTAGCAGATGGAGCAGGTGGTTGCCTCTCACTGATTGTCTGTACAAAAAGTTCTTTGCGGATTCCATTTATCATCTATAGAAAAAATGAACATAGTTTAATTTCAGCTTTCACCAAGATGTAGTAAATTGCTTCCAGACCTTGTAGCACAATTTTAATTTGTGATTACGGCAAATCAATTTTTGCTTGGAGTTATATTGGCAGCTCGAAGAAACAGTTTTAAAACAAATTTTAGAAGCTCAGGTTACTTTCTGCTAATTTCTCCCTGAATATAAATCGTTTGTAGGAGCCAATAATCACATTTAATAAACTTCCATTTGTTGTAAATGATCCCTCTTTAAAACTCTTACTGTTAAAACAACGGGATTATTCTAATGTCAATAAAACTTTGCAACCTGTGACATACTTGTATATAAATACCCCTGGCTATATGTAACAGATGTAAGCAATTTATAACTGTATGTAAATTTAAATGTATGTGTAATAAATATACATAATAGATGGGGACTGGCTATTTCATATTTTCCAATTGCGTATTTAGTCTCTGATCAGGCTCGAAGACCAAGCTGCAACACGTATCTGCCTGTCTGCCTGAGATTTCAGCTTGGCTTGCCGAGGCAAGTTTATGAGAGTATCACTTCACATTTTCCTTCACTCTGTCTCTGCTCCGGGTCCTTCTCTACCAGCACTTTTTTTTTTTCCTTCGGTGGGAATAACGTAGTAAAGAAATTTTACTTCTAACTGCTTTTTAATACAGAATAACCATTTTATTAAACTGTACATATAAGCAGAGACTTGGCCAATGTAAAGTAATACTGTATTACATTGAAACAGAATGCTTTTCAGTCAAAAGCAAGAACACTTTACAGTCACTGAACCATAATTATAGCCGCTTTATGCCTCTGGTGTTGCCTGTACTCTAAATGGATGTGGCTCACTAACACAGAGACAGCATGGGCATCTTTCAAAATTTATACAATTTATTTCAATATTGTGATTACAAGAACAACAGTGTAATCTCATTAGATGACCTTCAGACAACTAACACAATTACTCGGATCTGTATAACAATTAATAACTTGGGTATCTCCTTCCATTTATGATTGCTAACATTATTGTCACTTAAATACTCACAGACTTTTCTATCTTTCCTTCTTGCTTTCCTTATTAATTCTAGATATTAAATGCAACTAATAAAAAAACCCCCTATGACTGGAGAGAAGGACCAAAGGAAGGGGTGATGTAACTTCTCAGAGCAAAGAAAACCACGGAAGACCCTGCGCACACAAAAGTAATAGCTCAAGGGAAACTGTAGCAGACATACGGATGAGCAATACTGAAGATAGCCATCAAACAGGTGAGAATTAAGAAGCTAAATAAAGGTGATAATTAAAAACAAAGTTAATTTCAGCAAACTACCGCATTTTAGGCTAAGAAACTAATCCTGTACACCTTTATTTTTGACTAAACAAATGCCCTTCATTAACTTCTAAGTAGGGCAGCCACAATAACTATCCAGAAACCATAAGGATTTGCTATACATCAAAAGTACATTGTTACCTGGCAAACAACAAAATCGTTTTTGAATTAAGGTCAGGAGGAAGCCAAGAGTGCAGACAATGACTTTCAGTCACATGAGGAAAATTTTTCAGTTGAAATTAGAAATTGCAGACCATGGCATTTCTGGGGATTTTACTAAACCTGTGGATCTTCTTTAGTAAGGCTTCCCTGCAAAAGCTGCACTTTAAAATACACTACTATATGTAACTTAGATAGGCATATCTAAGAAGAAATTTTCTATGCAGAAACATGGAAATAAATGTGTGTTTTACATAAAATACCTGTTATCAACAACGGTAAAAATACGTGTTCCCAGAGAACCACAGAACTGCTGTGCATAAGCTACCTAGTTAGAAATGAAACCCACGCTGATGTTCTAACCCTTCAAATGTTAAAATAAAGTTAGATGTTATAAAACTGCTGCATTATCAGTGAGAGCCCTGACATCATTTGTATGTCTGATCCCCCTGCCTGGCAGCTTGGCAATGTGCTTCCCATTTGGTCAGTCTGTTAGCAGCAGCATCGCATCGCACTGCGGATCAAAAACTTCTCTGGGATAGCTCATGTTCTCCCAGGTCCTTCTGCAGAACCTGTATGCCCACTCCAGTGCACGGAGCACCTAAGGAGCCCTGAAGATTAGACAATTGCTTTTCATGACATATCTCTCACTACTTAATTTAGGCTGTTTTATTTCTTAAACAGCTGGACTACAAACAAAGATTACTACATATACTTGCTATCTCCTTCAATCTGAATTACATGTTGTCATCTGTAATGTACAGTGAATGTGATTCTTCATGATAAAGAATTATACAGCTATGGAAGCATTTTATTGTTGGACTATCGCTAAGAAAATGAACATGATGTTAGTTTCCTTAACAAAAGGACATAATTCAATAATCGTTACAAGCTTTATGTGAACTCTGCTGGTGAAAGATAATGAAAATTATTGTAGTAAATGAAGTGAGAAATGCCATTAAGAAATGAGGGGCAGGGAGAAAATCATTCTTTCTTTCCTCCACTTTAAAAACAGTGAGCTTTGCTTCAGCTTGTTTATGAAGAAATAGCAGTGGGTGTCTGTGTTGCAAAAGAAGGAGCTTCACAGAGTGTAAAAAGAAGAAGAAAAAGAAGAAGAAAACAACACCTATGCTGGGTCAGACTAAACATCACTCTGGAGTAGTACCCTGTCTCAGAGTGGTCAGCTGCCAACGCTTAGGGAAACAGCACGCACAGCTGGCGGGTACCAAGCGACGTCTCCCAGCCTGCAGCGAATGCAGCATTGGCTCACCTCGGACAGAAACAGTTCACCCATTCCGGAGCCGTTTCTAAAGGCGAGGCTCCCTTTCCTGTGAAGGTGGTCACACTGGGCAACACCACGGGTAAGTCTTCGTAAGGCACGGGGACAGTGCCGCACGTCTGGCAGTGAATGATGGGAATAGGTGTTCCCCAGTACCGCTGCCGAGATATTAACCAGTCTCTCAATTTGTCACTCGTTAGGTCTCCACCTAGTCTTTTATTTCTGGCCTGCTGGGTAATAGCTTTTAAAGCCTCCTGCCGAGTCATGCCTGTGATCTGATTAAAAAAAGAGAAGCAGAAGAAGAAAGAAAAATTTATGCTTGCTGTCAGTGAAAATGTGAGAATGGACAAAATAGTCAAATGGCAATTTCTGAGAGTCAAAAGTTTATGAGTCTCACATTAATTTCCCCCTTCCCGCTGCTTAACATCCTCCTATCCAAGAGACTATTCACATCCAGCTACCCATTTAAACCCTTTTGCTCAAAGGATAATGTTCTTGATGGTCTGAATAGAACAAGGCTGAGAAAGAGTCATGCAGACCCCTTCAGCCTTTATTGGCAGATATCTGCATTTACTGCTGATGTTTTAATCAACAGCTATATGCTGAAACTTCCAGAATATCATCGACACAAGGCAGAGACTGAGGAAATGCAAATGGTAAACAGCTTGCTTTCTCCTACATTCATTTTAGGTTTTTCTATTCTTGCTTTCACATACATCTTAACCACTTAGATCCTACCTCTCGTGTAACAATATGAGCTTTGTGTCTGCCATCAAACACATTTTTTCAAGAGCTATAACACCATATATATCTTAAAGATAAGTTTTCTATGTCATTTCAGGCAGATATGTTACCATAAAGGCTTACACCACATCTCAGTGAATATGCGGAAAAAGGACTAATATGTTAATATTTAGCTTAAAAATCTATTGAGATGATGAAATAAGAATCAACTTTAAACATGGGTTTAATCATTCAGTTTCCATTATAAAACCAATATAAAACATATTTCATATAAAAAACCCAATACTGTTCCTTCCTCGCTTGTACAAAAAGAAAAAACTCATTTTATTGCTACAGAAGAGCCAATATATTTCATCATTAAATTATTCCTAGAAATTTGGTAGCATAAGCATGTCTTGATTCTTAAAAAAAACAACAAAAAAATCCCTTTAGTCATACAAAGTATTTGGCACTCTTGAGAAAACAGATTTAGTTTGCATTCTTATTGTAAGTTGGAAAGAGCTCCATACTTGTATACCCACCTCTGCAGAATTAATGACTTTCTCCAAACCATTTGGCAATGTCTCAATGACTTCGGTGAAAGAAATGCCCAGATTCTTAGCTACTGCAGCATCTTCAGCACTAGTACTAGGAATTCCTAGGAGGGGAGAAAAAATAAATCCGTTCTGGGATTGACAAACATAGATATCAATCATCAGTTTGAGGATAAAACTTTTTATTTCTATGGCACTCTCTTAAAATGACTTAGGTTTGCCCAAAGGAGTTCAAAAATCTAAGAACAATGAAAATGTTTTCATGTTCTTTAAGCAGTGAAATTCAAGCAGCAACAATTACAGACACATTTTCTCAGTTTCTCTGTAATCCAAATGTTCATCAATGTCCTACCTCAAAAAAGCCTGAAAATTTGATGGTTCCAAAAAAGGCCTAAAAATAAAGCTACAAAATTTGGTTAAATACTAACATTTTCAATACAGTTATAGTATCTAAATATAATATATTTCAATAATAAGAATTTTAATTCTATTTGCTAATATGAGAAACAATAGTTTCTCAGTTTTGAGAAACACAATAGTCCTCTTGTTTCAATAGCAAACTTAATCTCTTTCTAATTTCATAGTTTATTAAAATGCACCACATCACAAGTGTTTCTAACATTACTATTGCTTTAAGTTATTATGAAGGACACGATTTGTTTATAAACTAAGGAAAACCATTCAAACAACACCAATTTTCTCTTCAGACTATAACCACTGAGAGCACTTGCTGCCCAAGTCAGTTACAGAAGTCACAGCACTTAAGGGCCCTGATGCTACCTTTCCCTTGGCATCTTATTATTTGGGACAGTCACACATCTTAGTTCTACTTCAGAGGACTACCTTTCAGGGTGAGTTAAGAAATTTCTTAACTTTATTATCACCTGTGTTCTGAAATAACATTGAGATACCAGTAGATGTATTATTTCCACAGAGAGATACACCTTTCTGCAGTTTTTTTTTTTTCCTTTCAGTGATAATTTATTTAATATTTTGAACAATCTTGCACAATTGCTGTCATCTTTAAAAGGCAAAGAAACTTATTCTGACAAGCCAATGCCAATATTAACTTGGTGAAAACTACAGAGAAAAACTCTCAAAATACTGCTGAGCACATTAGAATTATTAACACATGAATTACTTCATCCAAAACCAGTTTAACAATCATCTGTTCAGGCAATGAAACGCTTGCAATACATTAACTCTGGCAATATATGGAAGTTTGGAAGCAGATAACTAAAGAAAACCTAGCAAAACTCCCCTGTGACAAATAACTCCTTAACTAGCAAAATATGGAATCACTATTTTATCTTTCCAGCAGATGTACGCTCCTGCCATTTCAAGGCCCTATGATAGAATAATGTATGTATCTTAATTTGTCAAGGAGCCTTGCAGCCTGCAACAGGTGGCTTCACAATATGCTCTACAAACAGAAAAAACTAGGTCCCACTTTTTGGTCTTCCTCCTTTTGAAAAGATGGTGCTATTACTGTACATTCGCAGAGCTCAACAGCTGGCATCCAGAACTTCCCAGGAAGAGCTGGGCTGCTTCCAACAGACATAAGGCCAAGCTACGTGCCAGCGAGAAGTCAGAAGCTTTTAGTGAAAAATAAGATTAGGTATCTCAAGTTTTGGCTCTCTTACACAAGGAAAGGTCCTGGTTCTCAAAACCAGATTCATTTCTAAAGTGTAAGATGCGGGCATGTTCTAAGTAAGGTATACAGCCTAAGTGCATTATTTCCATCAGCCTTGTGAGGGTCATCCCAGACATTTTTGTGCAGTCAGTCCAGTTGTTCTGCAGGAACAAGCCAATATTGGCAGTGGTGCAGAAAAGAAAGTAGCAGCTCCAGGGTAGGAAAGGAGTATCAACACCAGGGAGGCAAGACAAGGGAGTTAAGGGATAAGGAAGGTAGTGGAAAGGGGGAAGAAGAGAGAACTATTTCCTATTAGGACCGGTGCAGAAGGTTGCCTGCTCGAAGTAGCCGAGATGAGACCATGGCAAAACACACAAGTGAACAAAAAGCTTGGTGGGTGCAGATTAAAATGGACACCACTTTTAAAAGTTAGTACAATTTCTAATTTTACTTAGAAGGACAGTCACGTCATCTAACCAGACGTACTTAGCTGCCCAAGCTGAGAGGCTGGGCTCCCTGTGCAGGAAAGAAGTCAGACAGGCTGCTTCGTAGGACAGCTTTGAGAACAGAAGCCCACTCCAAGCGATTCAGAGCATCCTCTAGCAAGGGCCTTCCCCCTCCGTTTATTAGGTGCCTTAAATTATAGGAATGCTTCCTTTAGAGATAAAAGATCCAAGATAACTGCAAAAGACTACCTGAACAGAATTATTACCTGTTCTCACTTATTCTACTGATCTCAACATAAATATCAAACAAAAGTCAAACTTGGCAGTTTTGTACATTTACTGCCTGAAACGTTTCTCTATAAGGACGCAAATAATTTATGTAAGCATAAGACACAAAAAAACCTAAAAGTTCGGGTTGTTTGCAAAATATTTATGTCAAACAATGGCACAGTTCTGTTTTGATTAGGGATGGTGAGAGACAGCCAAATACACACACACTGTAGGTGATCAATCCTCTTAAGATATGCAGATCCTCAAATTTAGCTCATTAAACATACTAATTTCATAATATTTCCATTAAAATTTATCATCCTGTAAATCTCTTCCCCCAGACAGACTCCACATAGCTATGTTTCCCTTCCTTCTTCACTAATGAAGAACAGAGTTCCAAAGTCCAGAACAGAGCCACTGTGTTCAAAGATTTACCATAACAGTATCTCGTGGTGCAACACAGCCACTGAAAACTATACTGTTCCACTCACACATTGAATGTCACATACCTATTTTAGTATCAAGAAAATTCTCAAAATTGGTTTTTGCTGAGATGATTACAGGAATCTCCTGATCAGTAAGCAAATTCACAGCTGTCACTGAAGTAAGTGAGTCTGAAAACAAATGTAATGATCATGGTAAGTAAAATACGACAGAAGATGTGCTAGGAATATTACTTACTATTAGAACTCAGTTTAACTTAAACATGCATGAAATTTAAATTACAATTTTGTTTAAAAAAGAAAGAAAATGAAAAGCCTAATCATATTTCTAAAAAGCTCAGATGTATCAAAATCTTGATACAAAAAGCTGGACTGATAAATTTTCATGATTAGAAAACATACTTACAACAAACACCTGAATAAAAACAGGGTAAGATTTGGGTTGTAATAAAAAAAATTGAGTCCTTGACCAAAATGCAGGCCTGCTGCAAAATTGTATGAATCAGCTCTAGTAAGCCCTGAATTATATACTAGCATACATTATTCCAAAATTATGCAAAAAAAAAAATCCAGTTATTCAGATGCAACTGAAGGGGAGCACATATCCTACACTTATTATTTGCTTTGTTACAGAAGAACTACAAACCATGAGCAATATTGACCAGTGTAGAAAAAAACCCTACATAATCTATTGATTTCCAAACAGAATATTCGTATTCATATTAGAGATGAGGAACCCAATGCCCACAGGGAAGAGGAGAGAATCAAGGGTGAGAACTGTGATAAACTGTAATTGACTGACAACGTGTAGCTTGGGTGGCTGGACAAGAAGAAAATCAAATCTGAATACCCCAAGTTTTGAGGATTCAAACACCAGATCTCAGTTTGGACCTGTTTTTAACTTTTTCAGTGCCTTTAAGTTGGTGACAATTAAAGTAATGAAAATTCAGACTGCTAAGAGCTTCCTTTCACCTATCTTCGTAGCTAAGCTGAGGAAAGTCTTAGGCTTGTATGGCAATGCATAAAATATGCTTGAAATAAAGTAACGGCATTTTAGAGAACAGGGCTACTATATTTCATCACTTTTCTTAACACAAATTATACATTTATTTCTGATTACTACTTTTTCAAATTTCAGGTGTCTGAGATATCCATACCCTAGAGAAAATTTCTCACGTTCAAACCACTGCACATAGCCTTCCTCCTCTGTTTACAAAAAGTACAAAAGGAAACATTTCACTCTCTGGAAGCAACTAACCAAAAAGCCTCATGAACAGGAAGCTGAGTGGGTAGGACAGTCTGCTTTTAAAAATAACTTCTCTCTTCCACCCAGCAATAATTTTAATTTTATGCTGGAACCCAAAATAACAACTCCAGTTTATGAAGGCACTCTTTCTTGTGCTCGTTTGCTCACATCATCATTGTAATAGCTGTAAAGAGATGATATTACAGTTACAAAGGTTAAAAGAATGTATGCATAGTATTATAACAAGATAATGAACAACGTAAGGGTCAAATTTTTATCTCAGACACCTCACAGTCAAAACTAGAAAACTTACCAGATTCTAAATTAATATAAATTTTTCTAGGCTGAAAAAATTGAATGTTTGAAAACTGGTTGTTCACCTCTATTTAAATACCAATTGCCCAAAATACAGAGCTGTACTCCAAGAATAAAGGTATTAGAACTTAAAGTTACTTTGCCATACAACAGCTTTTGTTGTTTTTTTTTTTTTCCCAGAAAACATAAAAACATATCCTCCTAATTATTTAAATGAGAATACAGTGAAGAAAGGGAGTTCCAAGACTATCCGTGTTAAAAAGAAAACAATTACAATTAATGAAATTAAAATTTTAATGTTACTGGTGAATTTTTTTTTTTAAATCTTGGTCAATATAAAAATAGGATCTATTTAAGGCCATCCAAAATTTCTTTTTACATAAATGCCACTGTTGGCCCTTCGTATGTACCACGGCTGAAACGCAAATTTGAAAGTCCATGTAGAAATTCTTCTCCTTTTTGTTCTCTCCTTTGGAAAATACCAGTCTGTGCCTTTGAAATGCACAAGAAACAGTAAGAAATATCAGCTAATTTCAACTGAAGAATGTATATAAGCATATTTACAAGTAGCAGAAGTACACAACAATAGCAGAATTACGATTCCGGAATTGTGCCTGTTTTCCAAGGACTTAGGCTGTCATTATTCTGAACGAGAGTTTCTTAATTTAGCTCAGCCAAAAGGTGAAGCTTATCGTCAACAGACACAAAAAAGCTCTTCCAAGTATTTCCACATAAAAACAAAGTAAAAAAAAATACTGTTGTCCTAATTAAAAACAAATTTTGCACTTGTGTGGTTTGGCTTAAAGCACAAGAGCCGACAAAGATACAGGCCCACGTGTGGATGTGCATTTCTGCAGTTAGCGCTTTGATTTGGCTGAACTGTAAGAACTTCAAATTTATTTCTTTGTTCCTTAAGAAAAATTCTCCAAGCTTTGCTCAGCTCTGAGACAAGGGCTCTACATACTCAACACATTCAGGCTCCCTTTTTTTCTTCTACCAAGCAAACTTTTTTAAGCTTATAGAAATGAAGCACTCAAAAATAAAGTAGGTTCTGTGCAACCATCACAATTTCTTACAAGATTCCTGCTTCATAGCTGTTGACATCAGATGTTATACAAACAATGAAGCCTCATCTTAACCAGTGAGGAAAAAAATAAATATTGAACACCAGCCTGAAGTGGAAACAAAAAATATTCAGCATACATTGTATGTACTCTTGTAATTTTCAGGTTTTCCAAACAACAAAAGTATAGCAGGCCAGGGATGCTAAATACAGACAGAATTGGTGGTGGGAGCCTTCAGGAAACCAATTAACAGCAATTAAAGAATTACCACTTATTTGTATCTTCTGTACAAGTCATGACCTGCCATAGGGATACTCTGAATTCACTCCATTAGAGTCCTGTATTAACTAAGGACCTGCACAGCACAGTATTATCTTGCTCTCTATCAATGGTCCACTTCGGTACGTATTAGTGATCTATTGCCCTCTTTATCTTCCCTCTGACAGGAAGAGATCATCGCTGGTGCCAGAGTTCATTCTCCTGTCTTTGTGCTAACGACAAATTACCATACAGCCGTGAGATTTTCCAATGGGCTGACATAGTCGGAGTTGGACTATTCACTTCTGGTACACGAGGAAACCAGAATCTGTTCTATTGCTTTTATGTACTACGAAGTGTTACAGCCATCATAAAAGGAAAAATTCTAACGTAGCTGCTCTTACCAAATCCGAAGCCAGGACAGGCTGATGTGATATTGTTTGACATATATCAAAAATCAAAAGAACAGCTCCCTCTCAACAGGAACAGCTCCTGCTCAGCTTCACACACGTTCGCTGAAGATCATTCTCTAAAATTCTTACTCTTGTACAACAAAATGCAGTATGAGAAAAGTATCACCTTTCCCTGGAATGAACTCCCTCTGAAAGACTTCCTTAAGACTGCTATTCCCATGCAGCAGTCTGTGAGTCGGTAAGATGGATAAATGGGAAGCTCCATAAATGGCTTCAGGCGTATAGGTGTAAGCTGCTAGCTTCTCTCCTGTTACTTTACCATTAACCTGAAAAAGAGCAGAAAAATTCTCATTGGAAATGCAGTGGTTTTAGATTCCCCTTCCTTTTTATACAGCTAACGAATCTACATCACCCTGTAGAAATACACAGTTCTGAATATCAAAGCCAGACATATTCCCACTATAGGGATTTTCCAGAATCAAACCTTGGAAAAAAAGGTACTTTTAAGCTCTTGAGAAAGTTGCTTTATAGTCTTGCCTCAGTTTACCCAAATATATGTAATAAATTTTTTTTTCTAAAATTGTAGGTAATATTACATCGTGCTACTGAGCTAGGTTCAATCCCTGGTTAAGTAACCTAGAATCTTTCTATTGGCTTTTAATATGCATACCCTGTTTCCAAGAAACAGAAATAAGATGTTACCTCTGAAATCTAAAGAGAATTTAAGATTTTCTCAGCTACCAGGCTTTCCACCACACTTCTCTGATGAAGTCAATGCTCGAATTTATGTATAGGAATAAAACAATAAAAGGTGGCACAACATTAAAACAACTGGACATAAAATATGAGTAATAAACTTAGAAGACTGCTTAAGAATTACCACCTAGCACAACCAACAAGCTTTATATTTTAGGTCAATTAACTGCGGCATGTATGGGGGTCTTAGAAGGAGATTCTTCTACAACAGGTATTGATACACATTTTCAGAAACAACTGATAAAAGCAATTGAAATACAAAAATGAACCTTCTAGCAGTGTGCAACTCAGAGGTATTAAGAAAGCTGTCCCAATTTGAAGTTCCCAAAAAGTCAGTATTTTAAAATAAGAAGTCACTTTCAAAATGTTAGACTGCAGTAAATAAGCACAAGGGCCAAAATTCCATCTGAAAATCTCTTCTGGCACTATTGTATTCAAGAATTTTGCATCTCTTGAGAAAAACAGGAAAATCTGAAGTCCTTCTGTAGATAATTATGATTTTCTTAAGGTTTCTTTTTCCTTCCTCTCCTTTTGTTCTATCTAGACTTCTCTGTAGGTCCATCACTACCTAATTGTGTGGTTTTCATTATTTTAATTATTGTACATAGTAAATGAAATAGTGGACAAATATAAGCGAAGTGGCTTCCCTGAGGTCAGCCTGGGTCTGACAGAGAAGGTCATGTGCAGAGAGGAGCGAAAGCCCAGCTAGATCCCAGCTAACTTGTGCCGTGCCACCTGATACTGCTCTTGGCACTGCTCCCCTAAATGTCCTGGCTTTCAGGAATGCTCATTAGCTGGCACATATTTTGGCATAAACACACACAGCCAATTTGCATCCCGTGCTGCACTTGAACACACAAACCCTTCCCTAAGGAGGATAGCAAGGAGCACCTCTTCACCCCACCACTGCTGTTCTTCAGGAATCCCTGCTGGTCCGGGCAGGAATGTACAATAATCTCTTTTAGTAGGCTTCAAGCTTTTTAGATCTGAAAATCCATTCCCATCACACATTTCAGGGGTTGTAGTTAGCTCAACCAAGATAGCAGCAATGAAATTTCTGACTTACCTTTAGCAAGAAGTCAAGAGAGCATCCAATGCAGTCACCTATCCAATTTGCTTGCATTTCTTTTATACCGTACCACTCAGGGAGATCAGACAAAGCATCAAACATAGCCTGATCCAATAAAAGAAAGAATTAGAACATTCAGCTTTCATAAGCATACAAATTAAGACCATGGGTTTAATTATAACTAACAGCAAAATGATAAGGTGCTGGTAACAACAAAGGAAGAGGTGTTTTTATACTGCTGCTGCCTCAAATTCATCTCTTTAAGAACAGAACTAACATGGCGCAAGCCAGAGGTATGTGGTCTCCAACAGAGACCTTGTTGCTATTAAAAGAGGCCTTCCTTTTGAACGGACTAAACCTTAAACACAGAACAAAACCCTGAGATGAAAACAAACACAGGAAATATTCCCAATGGCTGTAACTCGTGGGCAGTGTAAGTGACCTGATGAGCCAAACAAGACTACAGATACAGAAGAGAAGTGCTTGCAGGTATGAAGCCTACATTTGGATTAGTTGTTCTAGACAAGAGCCTGGAGATGGCAGTCAGACAGAAGACATTTACATGTCCTAAAATTTTCAAGCTCTGACTTAAAATGGCAAAACACAGTTTCCAGCTGCATATCTATTTTTTGTATTTCATATCGGTATTTTATCAAGCCCAACAGGCTGTAAAATTGAGTGGGACTTCTACGTGATATCACCTTGTAAAAAAAAAAAAAACACCACCCAAACCATAAGGGTTCATATTAAATTAAAAA